AGAAACGCTTTATACAAACGCCTTTCAAACGCTGTAGCGTTGCAATTTCCGCCCTATGAATTCTCTACTGACCGTTTCAAAACTTTCAACGAATTTCCGCAAAACGTTCATACAAACGTCAAATAAACGCTTATAAAACTTCTCATTTTTGTCAGGGAACATGGCAAAGGTAGCGAACGCGCAGTCTATATATTATACGTCTATGTGTACGTTATGGCAACCATCTTAAGCGATCACTTTTTGGAAGGAAGAAGGAATCAAATAAGGTATGCAAAAATAAGGTACACATTAACGTGTCTGGACGTGTTCTATGTGCAATCTGTGCAACAGACTATAGAAATTATTATAAATAAATGTTGTGAAATAAGTGTTGTATCACAAAAAATAAGTAATGCTGTATAGTCAAGCTTGTGGTGTAACAGTAGCAACTGTTTCGATCAAAACATATACATAAAAAAAAAAAAAGTAATACGATGTATAATGGCTGAATTTGCACTAGATAATCACTTATTAAAAACTCATGTAAATTTATTGTTAAAACCCATCGCTGAAAATTATCTTAATTTAAGAATTAGATATGTATGTAACAACATGATCTCAGGTGATAAAGAAACTTTTATACAAAACTTATACTATTTAAAGGACAATAAATTGTGATAACAGAATTTAATATTATTTACAACCTTGACTTTTAATATTTGATATTATTGTTGCATATTAAAAGTATTTTCTTTCAACTATATCTTTATTTAATTATCGCAGTAAATTTTGAGCGCCACTATATTGAATGATTTTCTAGCATTTCAGCATAATAACATAATACGCTCCCGTATCTATACATGTAGACGCCCCCTCCTGTTTCTTTTTACTCAAAGTATGTAGATCTATGCGCATTTCCTCTAATGCTACCGCATGCTACCAAAGCACAAGCCTACAAAGAATCTGGCATCTCTGCCTGAGACTGCGGATTTGTTACATCGATAGAACGCTTTCTTTGCTGTATTAATCTTCATTTTTATTGCTCTGCGGGTGATACTCAGTAAGTACGTACCAGCTTGGTTTAGCTTTGCTAGTTGTAAGGTAAAAACAAAATACTCAAAGTATTTTTCAAGTAAAAAAAACTTAGTTTTTATAAGCTTGTTGGGTAGCTTCCTAGATAGTCAAATGTGAAAACTCAATATAAAGCAAATCATTGTAGATTAAGTTGCTCGCCAATTGCTGTTGTGTTGTTTTTCTTTAATGCAACGAAAATATTTTTGTCAATTCAGTATCGATATGCTGAGTTTTATTTATCAATCAATTGTTGTAGCCAATGTTTATGAAAAGTGAGTCAGCAATATGTGAGCAATATATGAGCAATAATTTTTATTCATAAGATGAGAAAAATAATATAAGTTTATTGCCGATGAGTTGTTGGGAACTTGCTATTATTATATTTTGAAAACTGTTGCTGGCAAGAACATACTGAAAAGAGGATACACCCTTTTGTTACATTGCTGAAAACATGAGTAATATTTGTAGCAAGTTGCCAACAACTTGCACTTAGTTGGCTATCTAGGTTCTTGCCAATTTTCTTTTTGCTCTCTTTGCCTGTCGTGGATAGGGATAAAAATCCTATTTTTGACATAGCCGAAGTTTCCTTTCTATTATGAAAGATGATCATAGTACTGAATCGGCTCTTCAAGGCTCGGTATCCGGATCCGGTGAGGGTTCTTTGAGTTTTTCTGTAACCAACCTAACCTAACCTCAGGGTCTTTGACTAGTCAGAATTCTGTCGGGGAAGTTGTGTGTGATTCTCTGCCGCCTTGTCGTGGTGGCGAAATTGGCGTCGTGGATAAAGCGGTTAAAAGATATGGGACAAGTCAGTCTTCTCTTCTTAAGAAGGCATATTCACCGTTGACAGAGGCACAACGAACACTTATGCTGAACAGATATGAGCCAGAGTTCTCTGGCCCATTCCCTGTTCACATCGAGATTGTGTACTTTAACAGAGGTGCTAAAGAACGCGGGTTCGGGCCCGCATGGTAGCGGATTGGCAAGCACTGCTACTTTGAGCTTTTTAGGTAAGCCTTTTTTGGGAAAAAGGTTGAATAAGCTTTTATACGAGCCGTTCTAGCATGCGTTTGATCTTAAGTTTATAGGAAAGAATAAATTTTCAATAACATTCCTTTCTTAGAAAGAGGCAAATAACTTTATAGATCTTATCTTTTTATGAAGGGTTGATAAGAATTCAATTATGAACAGAGAAGTACGTAGTTTTTATATTCTAACTTTTACGGCACCGGCGAAGGTTAACGGTTACGCACAGATTTCTATACTATACTAGATCGCTAAGTTAGTGGAGATGAAGCCATCAATCATCATTATTCGCATTACAAATGGCCGAACTTCCGGTCAACATCTATAATTTTGTATATTCTTATTATAAAAATCTGTCATTTATATCGCGTTATATTGTGCGTGTAAGAAACGTCAACGGTATTAACATAAAAAAAATTACATTAAAAATGCCACAAATTTGTTGTGCAAAATCTTGTAAGAATGTGTGTTACGTCCTGGCCCATGGATACGGTCGGGCTGTGGTGTGACGCAACAGTAAACGCGTCGTTTTCCATATCTCTCTCTACAGTGGACACGGAAGTCCTGCTGCGAGAGAGTCGAGCGAGTTTGTTTATGTTCGTTGACAGGTCAACGGCGTACGNCGTCGACACGATTTCTATTTGCGCGCCTGGCGCGTCGAAGTCCAAGTCCATTCATGTTATTTATTGAGAAAAAACGGAATTTATTGTATGTCGGCGCGTCACGTTGCAAGAAAAAGGGGCCCGTGGAGTCCCCAGGACGTAACATGTGTAACGTTTGTATTTCTTTACGTAAATATATCAGTGCTTTTAATGTCTATTCGTAAGTATATTTGACAAGCTAAGTGTAATATTAAAAAATTTGACATTTATTTAGTGTTTTGAAGTTGGCGCTTCTGTATTATGTAAATAGCGGCATATTCTAAGTCTGCTTCACTTTTTGTCTACTCTTACCACCTGTTAGCAATTTAGTGTACCATAGAAATCTGTGCGGTCACGGCTATTATAAACCAACTCTAAGTGAAAAAATCACACCTTTGGGTAACTGAATTGCGTTTGTCTCAAATTTTCGAGTAGTTAGACAGTATGTTCTCCGGAGGGTTGATGACGATGATACTGGGAAAGATGTTCTTTTTAATATTAACATGTCGAATGCCATGGTACCGGTGACCGACAATGCCACAATTAATAAAAATACATAATTTAAGTAAATGAAAATACTTTTAAAATTTTCAATTATACTATCGTTATTAGAAATATGTAAAGAAACTGCATTCAATATATAAAAATAGTTTTATTTATATTGTGTACATCAAGTTATACTTTAAATAAAGTTATACGTGCATGTTGTGATGTGTCGTATTAAAACACGTTAATATAGAAGTTGTTTGATGTGTTAGGTTTTTGGGAGTTTATTTAGGGTGCTTTCCAACAACGGAACACTGTCATACACTGTGACACAGTGTAACACAGTGTCGATTTGTAGTTGGAACGCTTTTTAGCTTTTAGTTTTCATCGTCAGAGTGCAGAACAATTACTTTACATAAGTCATTTAAGTTTTCCGGCATATATGCGTAATGAATATGGTATATTTTAAACTAAAAAATGGCTCGCTAAAAAATAACCAAAGTAAGTAACCATTGTTGCGGAAGTATCGATTCTCGGTCTTCTTCTCAATAGATAACATAATTTTTAGATTCCTTAGCATATATTTTTGCTATAACAATTATTTTATCTACATTATATTATATATTATTATATATATTATTATTATATATTAAAAAAATGAATTATGATACATTAAATTCCATGCATAGAATAAATCATATACATAATACATGCACAAATTACAAATTTTATATCAGATTTTATTTCAGTTTTAATTTATAAAAGTTGAAATTAGATTAGAAAATGGCTTTTATACTGAATAAATTATACTGATATGTAAATAAATAAACTTACATTCGTTATTAACATCCACATTATCGTTTGTAAATAAAACATTGTTACTATCCATATATATATTTTTGTTTGTGAAACATTTATGGAAAAGTGTTGTGTCTAATATTGCAATATATGCATTGCAATGTTAGCAAAACCATCTGCTTTAATAATTAGGTAATAAAATTATTATTTAATCATTATTAAAATTGATATTTTTTAATTGCATACTGAAATATAAATATATTGCAGAATTGTAGAAGATTAATATTTTAAGGACATCAAGTGACACGAGATCAATTAAAACACGAGAGAATAGTTATGTCAATACTTATTATTACATTTTTATAACAAATAATAAAATAATTTAAAAAATATGTATCACATACCTTCCATGATTAATACTGTTCCGAATATAATTTAAAAGCACAGCAGAAAACAGTCTACAAGAATAGCATTCCATAGAAAAATAAACCGAAAAAAGTTGGTATCCATGGAGTGACACAGTTGAACACAGCATTTTAGCTGTGTATAATTGCGTCAATTTGTGTCGTAGTTGGAAAGCACCGAAGTGTACACAGTGTTACACAGTGTCGCCTGTGTACGTAGTTGGAAAGCACTCTTAGATTACTCATTGTGTTGCTGAAAGCGACATGTAACTGAGATCCGAAAACGTGTACTTTTTTGCATTAATATATTCAAAGCCATCGCTGGAATAAGATGAAGTGCTCACTCCAGTATATTTTCCATGGCGTTTAAGGGACTGGTTCGGTTGGTCCTGGACTGGGGTTGATAGGTTACCTCACCTCTGGAACACAGAGAGAGCCTGATATGTAATAGACTCTAGTTGCCTATATCTGCATTATTAGTGACCTTATGCGCACAACTCTTACCAATGTACTTTTAGATTTGATCAACGAGCAGCCTCTTCTATGCAGGCACAGGTACTTAACACGCAAGTATGTGTGTCGTGTTGCCTCTCGGTTTCACCAGTTAAATTCATCGCTGGGAGAACAGCTCCAGTCTTAAAACCCCATTTACGAAGACAATAATTTTGATCTGTTTGACATATTCAAACTATATAAGTGACACTTATAGTTTAACAAGCAAAGGCTTTGTTTTACCTAGTCTTTTGTCTTTATCCGCTACTTTAAGTGCACTGTGGATTTAGACACCGGCCTAAGCATCAGATCAGCCCATTCCCCCTACCAACGGCTCTAGACTCCTGTTTTCCGAAAATTTTTTTTTAAGAGGGAAATTCGCCGTTATTTCCTATTATTTTGATCTTACTCATTATAACCGAATAAATAACCATTCTTCTATCTTTGATGCTGAAGCCCAGGCTCTTATATGCGCTCTCGAATATATTAATAATGAATTCGAGTTTAGTCTTTTTTATATAGATTCACTCAGTGTTCTAAGATGCATTGAAACCTTTAGATCCTAAAAAGAAACTTGGCGGCCGCCAAGTGTCCTGTGAGTTCGCTTATTCCTGATCTTAAGGAGGTTCAATGGTTACAAAAAAATGCAGAGATTGCAACGAAATTTAGAAATGTGATTAATTAGGGATTCAGAAATTTGCCTAAATTTTGTTCAATATTTGTTATTGAATATTTTCTTAAAAAATAAAGCTGTGAAGTTCAAGTTATTAACTAGAGTTTTTATGGAAAGCAGCATATGTGGATGTTATTTTAGTGAAAATAGTATAAGAAAAATGCAGAGATGCAAAAACAAAACATACGTATTAATTGTTAAATACTCGAAGAATAATTTCGTATTTGTTTTGAAGTACTTTACCGATCATTTAGTAAAGTAATTATCATTGAACTCTAAATTTTTACAATATACTATACTCTTTCGAGCAGAAGACATGACAACAGCGCAATTCATATATATATATATATACACAAATGTTTGACGACTAACTTTATTGGGTGCGTTCAGACAACTCAATTGTTGAGTGATTATCGCTTGTGATTGAATCCTACTTTTAGAATCGTGATAGCTTTAGAGGAATAGTCATATCACAAGTGATGATCACTCAACAGTTGAATTGTCTGAACGCATCTATTGAATTCAAAATATATTTATTATGTTATATTAGTCTCTTTTTCAATATTTTGTAACAACAATAGTTGCTTACAAAATGAGCAATACATGTTATTTGCCATGTGCTGAATATTTACTATTCTATTGCCTTCAATGCTACAGACTGAGGCTATTGCATGTTCTGACTTTATCTCAAATTTCTTTCTTCTTTTTCCGTTTCTTTTTGCTATTCGTTGTATCATCCCAGTAAACAATTTGTTCGCAATTTGCCGGCAAATTGTCAGCAATTTTAAGCAAATATACTCTGCAAATTGGCATCAACTGTGTCCGCATTAGGCTTCGATTTTGTTGCCAAAGCTTGTCGACAAAAAGTAACAGCAAATTGCTAGCAAAAACCGAGCAAAGCTTGATACATATTGAAACATATTTTGGTCTGAGACTAAATTGACGCCAAATATGAAGCAAGATCTGCGCAACACGACACAGCTTTGCTTGGTTTTTGCCAGCAAGTTGCTGTTATGTTTTGTCAACAAGCTTGAATATATTTTTGCTAGCAATTTTCCAACATTGCCAGACAAAACAAACTCTGCATCATATTTGATGTCTTTCTGCTAAAAAAATTTAAAACAAGCATTTGGCAAAATCTGTTTCGACAGATTTGGTTATCTAGGATAGCATCGTGCACTTTTTTTTAACAAACTTTTTTTTTTTTAACAAATTTTCTTTTATATTTATACATTTCAGACGACATTGTCTACACTCGCTCTTAGGTTAGCGATGCGAAATCATCGAGTCGAATACTGTGTTACAAAGCTGCCAACACAAATTATTCAACCAAGAAATTGCGTTGTTGTCAAACTTCTTTCATTAATTTTTAGTTGAAAATAAAAATAAATAATTTATTAGAAGTTCTTTATTTTATAAAATATATGTTTAGTAATTATTTTTATTTTATTTTTGTTATTATTTCGCGAAATATTTGTGCTAGCAATAATGTTAAAAACATTAAAAATAATTTATCTTAGGGTGGTACCTCTGACATCTTTCAATGTTAAAAGATAGGATGCCTCCTTCGCGCCTTACTCTCCTGCAAGATACCACTGAACCTCCTTCAGGCGGTACTGGATACCGACTATAGAGATCTGTAAATTGACGTTTTTATAACCTAAATTTCTTTATTTTTTAATTTTATTTACTGCACAACATTAAAAGCGCTTCTACAGAAGCAAATAAATATACAAAACTATATAAAGTTTTTGAAAATGGGTATATAATGCTTTTTTGAACTTGTTTTTCATTCATAATGATAGTATATGGTAGCAAATACACATCATCACAATATTACTTTTTGTGGATCAATTAGACAACCAAATCATATTCTGAGTGTTTCATTAGATTGTTTTGTGTCGTACGTATTGCTGTAGTTCAGTGTAAATACGTACATAAGCTTAGAAATAATTTTATATACATGATGATATGATAAGGTTATAGAAGGAAACTGTATAAGAAAAAATTTATGCTGAATTTTGACATTTTAAAGAACAACAGCAAACTCTTAGCACAAGTTACTTATTTCTGTAGAAGCATTTTGGATTTGATGCAGTAAATACGGCACAAAACGAAATATTAAAACGTCGATTTACAGATCTCTATAGTCGGTATCCAGTACTCTCTTAAGAGGATGATGAACCTGTTTTACACATTTCGTAATTCAAAGATTTTGTAAAACAGAGAATATACTAAAGATTTCTATAAGGCATAAGAATTCAAGAAAAACAAAACAAAATTTACAGATTGTTATTACATAAAATACATTTTTGCTTTACATGCAAAATTGACTGTACGCATCTGAACAAAATATCGTTATAAAAAATTAGAAACATAGACAAATATTTTGAGTGCTTCAAAAAGAATTTTGAAGCTTTGTAAGACAAGAAAATTTTGAACTAAGATTAGTACAATTTTAAAGAAGCGCCGGAGAGACACATCCGTCTATTCTCGTCTCTCTTATGTCATCTATCTTTGTTTTGATCCGACTCGATCCCGAGAGATGGCGTCACTTATCCAACAGCGTAGCGGCTGAGCGACAGCTGAATCGGTCACTCGTCAGTAATAATCCTAGGAATTTAATCACTTTATTATGATAATTATTGATATATTATTAATAATTGTTTAGAATTAGCATAATTTATATCGCTGAATGTAATTGTAACAATTATTCTTTACAAATCAATATTAAGATGACGATAATGATAAAAAAACTGTTTGCTTTCTTGTACAAAATGTAGAGAAAATTCGTGATAATCAAGTGTGTTTGCGTACACTTCCAGCCAATACATATGTAGCGTGAAGAATTTTGCGTTCATAGATAAGAAGTAGAAAATATTCGGAAATAATCTCGCATTTTGATGTTATTATCTATTGTTATTATCTATTTTACGTTAAATATTTTGCAAATATATTTACTGTTATCAAAAGAAATTTACAAGTTTTGCATGAGATAGCCTCTGTAAAAGCTAACAAAATATTGTTTGGGAAAGTACATGAATTCATCGTATTTATTATCAATAATATATCTATCTTGTAGAATATCTCATTTGAACGTCAAAGCACAAAACAATTCACTTCTCTCACAGATACTCAAGTTTATTCAAAGTCACCATAGTATGTTCTCTTACATATCTTACAATTACGATAATGAATATTCTCTCTTATCTCTAACTGGTTTTCAAAAAATTAAGCTGAACTTTTTATCAGACTCATCCTGTATAACCAAATATGATATTTGTTTATATACATATAAAGGATTTTTTTCCAGGTTTCTGACAATGAACTATTTTTCATATCGAAAAAACCACTTCTTCTGCTACTTTATCATTATATACTTATTTACACATCACTATACGCGCACATAAGAAATATGCTAATTTTTAAAAATGTACTGTTACTTTTTTTTTATTGTTGTCCGTTGCGTAATCCCGTGTTAAATTGTCTCTTGTATCGAGAAGCAAACGTACTATTATATTTTTTTATCATAAACTTGCATGTCACGGCCTCATAATAATGAATCGTAAGAAATATACTGCACATCAAAAGCGATTTCCGAGTAAGACATGCGGAGTTCGACGGATCTTGTACTCGTGCTCGTTTCATTATTTCCACGAAAGACGTGGTTTATTACAAGATGAAAACGTCGTTGTTATAGTACTAAGTGCGACAGCGATGAGGTACAACCGTTACATAAATAATAAAAACCGTATTGTCTCGTTGCGATATTTTTATTCGGGTTAAATAAAAATTTAATCAGAAAAAGAAATTTGTATGCAAAATCAGAAAAAAGATGTTTTAATGTGGTGTGATATTGAAATGAGCAGTTTTTCGAATGCAAATATGTACTCTATAAATGTCGAGTCACGCGTATCTGCGACTCTTATCGGCGTTTAGTGCGCTATCACTTGTACAACGCATGGAGCGCTCTTTTGTATTCATCCCGGAATTTTGTGATGTACCACAATTGGTCGTATTTCGATAACAAGCAAACTTTGTTTGAATTTAGGCAGACTGTATTTTACATAAAGGTAGAGTGCAAGATAGAGAAATCTTCCATAAACTTTTTTAGTAATCGTTTCACAAACTTGTATGAATTTCCATTAATCATTTCATAAAGTGATAAGAGTGACATTGATGAAGACCGATTAGATTATTTGGTGTGTGTTTCTTTAGCGAATCTCATTCTATGAATCGTTCGAATATTTTCTTCGCTTTTATTACGGGCGACAAAACACAACCGTTATTTTTCTTTCTAGTTCGTTGAATTTTATTTGCAAATTTACACATCAACAAGTAACGTATAAATGAAAGCGTTCGGATCACCAACTAAGAGTTTCCGCACAAACTTTTTCGTAGCGCGTTAAGTTACGTTAAGTACTAGACATAAACTTAGATTTGTACATAACTTTAAACTTTATTCAACGCACAAACAAACTTAACGTACAACGTTTATGCTACATTGAGTTACTTTTATTTGTGCGTTTAATAAAATTCAAGTTTACGTACAAATCTAAGTTTATGGCCAGTACTTAACGTAACGTAACGCGTTACAAAAGAATTTGTGAGGAGGCGCTAACTTCTGGGAACTCACATTGAATTAAATATATCAAGAGGCACTGTAGTGCCTTACGTCAAGTTTACGCATAACGAGGGGTAAATGTTCAGTATAGGGGACGATGCTCCGATGATCTTGACCGTGACATATGTTGTCAAGGATATGTCCCTGAGTAACAATGTAAAGGTTTAGTCGTCGCTTTGTTCATTAAAAAGATATAAACAAAACAAAGTTCTTTAAGAAATTTTTTGACACCTTAAGACTACTTTTTCTGTTATTTTTGTTCATGTTGTAAGCGTAGAAGTAAATGTTCAGTACTTTTTCATTGCTGAAAATTCACAGCAAGCAGAAAATTTATCGCTAGAACGATTTTTGTGATGTTTTCAAATTGCCATAAATTTTCAGCAATAAAAAATTTTTGAGACATCAGAAATAACTCATTGAACTCAAGAGATTTTACAAAACTCAGCGTAACCTTCAAATAACCTTGGAAGTTTGTCATAACTACAAATCAGCAAAAAATGAAATGACCTTGAATGACCTTGAAACTTGTAAGAAAAAAAATGTTATCTCAAGAGTAATGTTTCTGCAAAGTTTGGTGACAATCTGATCAGTTATTCAAAAGATATAGCGATTTTTGAGCGTACAAACTCGCTGAAACACCCTGTATATTGTCCAATATGTACGAGTCATCACATGACGTCATATAGCGACAGCGTACGGGAGCGGAAAATAAAAAAACTTTTTCAATTCAAAATGAAGAGTTTTGATTGTTCTTAATGATGCTGAGTAGTGACGGTTTTTGGTCAAAATCACGGAAATCTGTATGTATGTCCATTAAACAATAAAGATTGTAAGATGTATAAATCAATATCAAATTGAGAATCTTCCTCTGGCTCATGAAGTTTATTAAACTTAATAAATAAATAAATAAAAACTAGCAATAAATAAAAACTAGCAAAACTAGCATCCTATATGAATTTAAGAATTGAAATTTCAATTCGAAAAACACACGTGAAAACGTGAATTTACTTATATATGTGTACACACATATAAGACATATTTTCCGCACAACATCCTGCGAACGGCTCCTTAAGACTTATTTATTCATTTATTAAATTGTAAGATGTAATTCTAAATTAAAGAGTAATTCTGTCTAAATTTTCGCAACTGAAGAAAACTCATGTCAGAGTTGAAACGTTTTGCATGCTTATTTTATTTTATATTTACGTACAACGAAATATATTGTTTTGAATTAACAACCATCTATTTTGCTCGAAACCTGTTTTATTATTGTTATTGTTGTTTAAAACGAGCGGAATAAGTATCTACAAAAGGTCACTACTCTCCGAATTCAATGAGGTTGACATATGTTGTCAAGGACACCTCCTTGAGTAACGATCAAAAGGTTTTAGCCGTTGTTCGTTGTTTTTTAATAAAAAGTTATTAAAAAAAATGAGATCGTGACCGAATGTTGGAAATTTCCAGTTTTTTTATTTATTCTGTGTAATGCTGTGTGTTTTTATTGTTATCATAATGCATTGTAAGTATTATTCATTGTTTTGTAGCCGAATATCATATAATGGACATCTCTGACATTATTGTGAAAAATTGATCTATCCGTTCTTTATGTGCAAAGCCCCCCCCCCCCCGACGTTTAACACTAGAACTACCAGTCAAAATGACTGGTTTTAGATTTTTATTTCAAGATTACTCAAATTTATAATATTGTATTTCAGAAGTTTTTTATGACGTTTTTGCAATATATAATATGAAGAATTAAATTTATCAATTTGTCATAAAAAATTTCTAAAATGCAAAGCCATTAATTTGAGTAATTTTTAAATGAAAAGTTATCACTAGTCATTTTGACTGCTACGGTAATTCTAGTGTTAAATAAGTATTCAGCTATGTAGAATTTGTAATGTTCTATTGATGTGGCAATATTTCATAATGTAGAATATTTGCTTGCATATTACGCCAAATTCTTTCAATATTTTGTGTGTGACAATGTGTAGTTGGATCAACGAAGTTGGTTTTATGATTTATTGTGTAATGATTATAACCGTATGAAAATCAATCTCATTGTATACTAGCCAACAGTCACTATATATTATTGATCTCGGAGCAATATAATTTCTTATTTCATGTAACAAAGTTTTCAAAGTTTTTTACTTATTCAGACTCTACATATTTGAAAAGTAAATATTTCGTTTGTATGATATCTTATTGTATACATATAAGCGGTGAAGGCGAATATATGTCATTGCGATAGTAATGTACAAGCCTTGACAAGCAATGTATATCATGTATAACGTTGAATCAAAATAACAAAACTATTTTTGTATTCTTTTTGTTCGTGTTGTAAGCGTGTAGGCAGGGGGGAGAGGCTACACATAATAATTTCGTAGTAAAATTACACATGTATACAATCAAAAAATCAAAATATATCTATACACTTTATTTGATGACGTCAAATGGCGTCATATTGGCGGTCTCTCTCTCTAAAAGTTAAAAAACTCTAAACCTGATTTGCACCCTTCTGTAACTTTCCCTGCGTCTTCGCCAATGCACATAACATAGAGAAATTCGCGGTGGATATTTCACTGCTGTTGCTGTAGGTTTACAAATTGTGAATAAAACAATCAAATAAATGAAGAATAAAGCAAGCAAATTTGCAATTTGAAAAACAAACAATAAGTTAAAACTATATGTAACAGTTATCGAGTATCTCGGCGAAATAAACGATAAAATCGATAGTTCTCGAACAAAAGTGCTTACTGTATATTTTACTTTATAAAGCGTGATAAACTTTCTAACAAATTTTCTTTCATAAAACACCTAAATGTTCTATACATTTCTGATTTTCTATTTTTGTAATATATAATAGTTTTTTATTTAATATATGCTGCAATTATATATTTTCTAACAAAAATAGTCAATATGCGTGGCAGATTAACCGGATTAACGGCATTCAAAATGTACTTCAATTGTATTTTATTCTTTTACATCATAAATGTAAGTTATAGCATAACACAAAGTCATTCGGCTCTCCAATGCATTTGAGAAGTGACATTGCATATAAAGTGACCTTGCGTATGTAGAAGTCAGATAAGGCGACAATTCTGAGACGAGTAATATTGCCTTTTAATACAGATACACGCACTGAAAAAATTTATTTGAACAGAGGACAAGATTTCTTCATCTCATCAAAATTCAGATCATTAATTGTCGGTAGTATTGCAAATATATTTTTGAAGACATTACAACAAATTAAGACATTAAAAAAGCACTATTTATTTAAGAATAACATAAAAGAATCAGTAAATTTTATTTTTTTAGTATTTAGTATTTAGTTTCCTGTTCGAGTAATTAAAGTACAAAGTTATTGATCTCGTATGTTGACTTGTATTAATTAATATATCTTTTAATATAATTGAGATTTAAGTGATTTATAATAGATTTATAATAGAAAATACATATAATTTTTATTCTTTACAAATTATTATAGAGGACCACCAAGATGTTCTAAGAATCACGAGAAGACACTTTTGAAGATAAATCTGAAGAAGTGATGTTCACACGTTAATCAATTCAGCTAATATCTCACACTTCGTACCAAAGAGGGTCATCAAAGATTTAAAGCGCGATAAAGCGATAAAGTCAATAGAGCGATCGATCGTGGGAGATATTGACAAGAAGCCGATGAGATACGTGATTTATATATCGAATTATTCTGAATTACATCGAGTGATCAATCTCAGTTAGTGTTGAGAAAGAGAACAAATCTTGCAGACGATGTTTGTAAATTCTTAATAACACAATTGAAAAAATCAATTATTAAAATGGTGAAGAAATATTTTATTTAATATGTAGAAAATCAATTAAGTCGCAAAAATAGAACCGACACGTGCCGGTTATTGATAATTGTTATGAGCTGATAAGTTAAACGATCGTTTTTAATCGTATTGATTGAAGTGACATACAAAACTCGTGATTTAATGACGCGCGCAAGGAGCTATGGATTCAACGACAATCAAATCGAAACCAAACCCAAGAGAAAAGGCAAACGTTGTATCAATATTGCTGTGGTGGTGAGTTGCACAATGTTTTGTTACATTATCTTACATCATCAAAGTTGTTTGTAACATATAAGAGTTTGTAACATATAAGAGTTTTCTTAAATTGTATTTTTTATATATATCTTTATAAAATTTGTATGTTAAAAACAGTACGTGTAATATGTGTTTAGAATAAATGTGTTAAAAACCTTGTGATTTTAATATTCGAGATAGTTACTTTGAGATAAACTTTATATATGTTTTTTTCTCATCTCATATGCGTGCGTGCGTGCGTGCGTGCGTGCGTGCGTGCGTGCGTGCGTGCGTGTGTGTGTGTACAGTAGGGAGCACTATATCGTGCGGCTCCAGGGGAAGTATTTCTCGGAAATTTTTGTTCTAGCTGCTCCTATTACTGCGCGCTGCTTTCCTCCGATCTCGGGCTGCTGGCAGAGACTGAAGGAGAACGACGCGCGATAGTAGAAGCAGTCAAAGGAGAAATTCCCGAAAAATACTTCCCTATATATGATGCTCCCTACTGTATACAGGGTGTCCGTGAAATTTTAACACANCCGAAGTATGGAGATAGAGTGAATGAAACTGAATCGAAAAGTTATTTGCCATTTTGCGAAATTCGCAATAGTTATTGAGATATGAATTAATAAATGTGAACCAATGAGCGCGTGGAAAGCGATGGTCCTAACTCTGTAGGCGTGTATGATTGACCATGTTCAGCAGACTGAGCAGATCAGTGAGCACTTACGGCCGATTTCTTCATACCTCTCGATAGCTATCCTCTGGATAAATTCCTCTGAGAACCAATAAGGAGAACCAATTTTGGNAGATATCTTCTAGATAAAGTTATCGAAAACTTATCTAGAAGTGAAAAAATTGGCTGTTAGTGATTCTTCAATATGATTGGTTTCTACACTTAAATCCAGCGAAGATCTAAAGGCAAGATTCATTCATATTAAAGAATCACTAAGCGATCACTGATCTGCTCAGTCTGCTGAACGTGGCCATTGTCAGTATAAGATTAATGGCATAAATCTGACATACATCTGTATTCGGCGGTTCGTAGCGAAGCAAGCAGCGTTCGAGGGGAGGTGAGAAGCCTCTGCTCTCCGCGATCAGCTGATCAACGCGATGTAACGAACAATTCTCCGTGTAGTGCAACAATTGCGCGAGAATGGTTGTCTCGTACACAATCATGAACCAGTTGGTGCACCACTCTTCAATAAGAGTCGATCAGCTGATCGCGATGTATGCCAGATGTATGCCATTAATCTTATACTGACAATCATACACGCCTACAAAGTTAGGACCATCGCTTTCCACGCGCTCATTGGTTCACATTTATTAATTCATATCTCAATAACTACCCAGATAACCAAATTTGTCGAAACACATTTTGCCAAATGCTTGTTACACATTTTGCCAAATGCTTGTTACACATTTTATTAGCAGAAAGACATCAAATATGATGCAGAGTTTGTTTTGTCTGGCAGTGTTACAAAATTGCTAGCAAAAATATATTCAAGCTTGTTGACAAAATATAACAGCAACTTGCTGGCAAAAACCAAGCAAAACTGTGTCGTGTTGCGCAGATCTTGCTTCATATTTGGCGTCAATTTGGTCTCAGACCAAAATACAATATACCCAGCAAACAATTTGGTTGCGAAATGTCGCGGTTTTGTCGCCAACCGCCGGCGAAATTTGTAAACCAAATCTATATCCATCTGTGTCCTCATTAGGACATGGTTTGGCGATCATATCTGTCAAACATGTGAGATGTCAAAATGAAATCAAAATCATAACAAGTCTGCCACTAGCAAAGCAAAGCCAAAGTGACGCACCAAATCCAGAACAGATTTGGTGATCGTTTGTTGGCGCCAAAATCGCGCCAAATACACATTATATCTGTTACCAAAACTGTCAACAAAACAGTAGCAAATACAGACTAAATCTGCCGTTAGAAGCGCCGACAGATTGTTACCAAACGCAGATCAGATCTGTCCCCTAGAATCCAAGTGGAATTACTATAAAAAAAAAAAAAGAAAATCAGTGGTATATCGCCTTATCGGAAGAGAATTAATTCGAGATTTCACTCGAATTAATTTCTAGAAACCTGATTCAGCTCGTTGATCAACCGATGAACTCCATTGAAAGAGACCGAATTTGAAAAAATCCTAAATGTGATAGCGGGATTTGAACTCGAGACCTCCAAATATTCGCAGCTCCTGCACTCAGTCCGCGAGACCACTTGTGTTCCTTACTACCATATAATTATTTTTATCTATTTATTCTCAAGCTATCTTACATTTCATTTATTATTTATTTCAATTATTATTTTACTAAAAATGTTGCGATGCAATGTACCTGCAACAATAAATAAAAATACTTTTCTTATTATTCTTAAATATAATTTAAAGTACGTTTTTACAACGCGAACAAATGTTTTGTTAATATATGCTGATACTTGAATAAACAAAGTGTTTTTTAGTGGATTTTTGGTCACTGAAAATGAATCCGGCGGCGAAATCGACCTAACACGTCAAATTTCTGAGAAAATTAAAGTTAAATGTATAACATACTGTCTATTAGCGTGAGAAAGAGCATATCAATGTATCTCATTCACACTAGTGGACATTGTGTTACACAGTGTCGACCGTACGTCGACACCTAGGAAAGCACTTATTGTTTCATATTACTCAACAAATACGAGAATAATACATTAAACTTATGATTGCTTCGTTGCCGAATGCGTATAAACAGAAGTATTAAAATCTTACAGTTGAACTTTGCCGGTTCCAGCATAAGTTAACAGTTATTACCCGCATAAACAAGGTCTAACTGTAAAAGACTGTTCAATGTGTGTTAACAATCTGTTATCAACACAGGCGACAGATATGATCGCAGATAATCGCCATTTTGTTGTCTAGATGTCAAACAGACATTAGTTTAGTAGTCTTGCGTGCAAACAGTCCGCACGTATGCACGAACAGATCTGCTTGGCGTTTCCTGGCAATCTGTCGTCAATGCGTTCAACAGATCGACCCGACTGCGGTCACCGTTTTGTCATAAACAGATGCTCGTACGGTTTGCAGACTGTTTGGTCACAGTATTGCTAAAAGCAGATCTGCTTGCTATCAATCATCTATTTGTTGTCAATTTCACTAACATATATGGAATCATTTTGGCCGCAATACTCTCATGTATTTGCCAAAAGAGTTGTTGCGTTTTTTGTCTCTATGTGCTAACAGTTTTGGCAGCACCAAAGCATGTTTCCGTATTGTAGCATTTCTGCACACAGTTTCTGTTGCTAAGGTCTGCGCAGTCAGAAATTGTTTGCTGGTATTTCAATATGTATCAAGCTTTGCTCGGTTTTTGCTAGCAATTTGCTGTTACTTTTTGTCGACAAGCTTTGGCAACAAAATCGAAGCTTAATGCGGACACAGTTGATGCCAATTTGCTGAGTATTTTTGCTTAAAATTGCTGACAATTTGCCGGCCAATTGCGAATAAATTGTTTGCTGGGTATTGCGAATTTCGCAAAATGGCAAATAACTTTTTGATTCAGTTTCACTCACTCTATCTCCATACTTCGTCAAAATTTTACGGACACTTTGTATATGTATATATACAAGGTGTCCCAGAATTGGTGTAACATCTCTCGTAGATAGGTAGAAGAAGGAAAACTAAGTCAATAAGTCCTATACCATTTTGCTAGATTTGCAATAGTTATCGAAATCTTAATTAACAAATATTCGCGAATAAGCGTGCATCGGGCTGTCTTATGCGCTTAACACGTTCACGCCGGGGCGAAAATCTACGTTTTTTCGCGTGAGGCGGGACTGTCTTATCTCCTTACGCTTCGTGGGGCGGGGCAACACTGTTGCGAGTTCGAACGCGCTTATTTTTTTAACGACTAAGTTTCTGAAAACAAGTGACCCATCGGTGGGTCACGACGCCCCACGGAATAGTCAAGTGTGACCCACCGGTGGGTCACGCCGCCCCACGGAACAGTCAGGTGTGACCCACCGGTGGGTCACACCGGCGTGAACGTGTTAAGACAGCCCAGTGCGCTTCGCGCGCTTACGATGTTACTCGTAGCAGCATATGGGAAGAGCTAATATAACAGCATATACTCTCTCTATAACATATACATATTAAAATGTAATTGCGAAGCGCGCCGAGCTGTTCTACGTGCGTAAGACAGCCCAATGTACGCTTATTCGCGGATCTTTGTTAAAATTTCGGTAACTATTGCGAATCTAGCAAAATGGTATAGGACTTATCGACTTAGTTTTACTTTTTCTACCTGTCTACGAAAGATGTTAGGTTAGGTTAGATTAGGTTATACATCTCATATATTATACATATGTGTGTGTATATATACAGGGTGTCCCAGAATTGGTTTAACATCTCTTGTAGACAGGTAGAAGGAATAAAACTGAGGTGAAAAGTCCTATACTATTTTGCTAGATTCGCAATAGTTACCGAGATTTTAATTAACAAAGATCCGCGAATAAACGTGCATCGGGCTGTCTTACGCGCGTAGGACAGCCCGGCGCGCTTCACAC